TTATTTCTCATAATTCTTTAAACTAGAGGCAACTGGGGCTGTACTAAGGGAAAAAATTGAAAGGCAGCCTGTAGTTAAGTTTCATCCTCTGTAAAGTGGGGGGTAATAGTTCCTTTCTATGGAATTGTGAACTTTCAATGAATTGGTATAATTAAAGCATTAAGGACAGTAACCGGCATAGGTAAAATACCAGTGACTCTAAGGTCTAGAGTCTAGAGGTCTAGTGTGTAGGGTCTAGAGGCCTTTGACTATTGTAATCACTACTCTTGCCCCCTCACTAATCCATTCTCCACACTGTAGCTAGCGATCTTTTCAAAATGCAAATCTGAGCCCTGTGTGTGGCATGTACCTGTAATCTCAGCTACTTGGAAGGCTGAGGCAGGAGGAGTGGCTTGAACCCAGCAGTTTGAGACCAGCCCAGACAATACAGGGAGATTTCATCTCATAAAAAGATTAATAAAAATTAAAATGCAGACTGGGCACAGTGGCTCACCCCTGTAATCCCAGCACTTTGGGAGGCCGAGGCGGATTGATCATTTGAGGTCAGGAGTTCAAGACCAGCCTGATCAACATGGTAAAACCCCATTTTTACTAAAAATACAAAATTAGCTGGGCGTGGTGCTCGGTGCCTGTAATCCCAGCTACTCGGGAGGCTGAGGCAGGAGAATAGCTTGAACCTGGGAGGCGGAGATTGCAGCGAGCTGAGATCACACCACTGCACTCCTGTCTGGGCAACAAATGTGAAACTCTGTCTCAAAAAAGAAAAAGCAAATGCATACCAGGCACGGTGGCTCACACCTATGATCTACCATTTTGGGTGGCTGAGGTAAGAGGATCATTTGAGCCCAGAAGTTCAAGAACAGTCTGGGAAACATGGTGGGACCTTATCTCTACAAAAAAAAAAAAATTAAAATTGGCTGGATGTGATGGTGTGTGCCTATAGTTCTAGCTCCTCAGGAGGCTGAGGTGGGAGGATTCCTTGAGCCCAGGAGTTTGAGGCTGCAATGAGCAATAATTATTCCTCTGCACTCCAGCTTGTGTGACAGAGCTAGACCATTTTTCTGAGAAATAAAATAAAAATTAAAAAATGCAAATCTGAACATGTCATTGCCTTGATATAAAGCCTTCAATGGTTCTCTACTACTCTGAATAAAGACCTATGGGTGCTAAAGCCTTTGCTTTTACCTATTTCTCCAACTTCACTACTTTCCTCCCTGGCCTTCACTTTGCACTTTCTAGGCACACAGGCCTTATTTCAATGCCATCAGGGTGCCACACATGCTGTGCCTTCTGCCTGAAATACATTCCTCTTTCCCATCTCTCACTTCACTCATTTTTCAGTCCTTGTCAAAGAATTCTTCCTCAGGGAAGCCTTTCCAGATTGCCTGGTCTAGATTACAATTCATGGTGTAGATACCCTGTACTTTTCCTCAGAGCCATTTATTATAGTTCTAATTATTACACTATAAGCTCCATGAGGGCAGGGACCATGTCTATCTTGTTAACCATTATAGTCCCAACCATAGCATAGTGCCTGACACATACTAGATACTCAACTGAAAAAAAAAAGTTTTTTATTTTTTCTAAATGAATTAGACTTACATTAAATCAGAGGGCCTTACACTGCAGCTCATGGGCCAAATCAAGTCCACCGTCTATTTTTCTATGGCTGGCAAGCTAAGAATGGTTTCTACATTTCTTAATGGTTGAAAAAAAATCAAAAGAATCGTGATATTTCTTGACACATGAAAAAGAAAAGAAATTCAATTTCAGTGTCCATAAAGTTTGTTGGAACATAACCCTACATATTAATTTATAATATAACATCTTTGGCCACTTTAAGGCTACAGCAGCACAGCTGAGTAGCTGTAACAGAGACCATATGGCCTGAAAAGCCAAAACTATTTACTATCTGGCCCTTAACAGGAAAAGTTTGCTGACCCCTGTGTTAGACAATAGCATTTTGGGTCTCTGGGGCAGCTTGTGTTCAAAAGCACCTGCAGGTGGCTTTTCTCAATTGTCAACAGTTTGCTTCTGTTGCTGAAACAAGTGGTCCATTTATTTTGCTTAGTTGGTAGGATTAATTAATGAGGGTTTCCTTTGTCCTTTGTTTTTCTGCTTCTCTATCAACAGTCAGAAGCCCCCCAAAGGAGATCAGTCATATGGCATACTCCTTTGTCAGAGGTATGCTCATGTAACTGATTTACCCCCAACCAAAAAATTTCTCAGGTCTTTGGATAATTCATGAATTTCTCAAATGAGATAATGAGTTGATATAGGTGGTTGCAATACATTTAAATAGAATGTCTACTTTTTTCCCATCTATTTTCCGTCAACCCATAAACTAGGAACAGATTTAAAACTGCTTTCTGTCATCTTTTAAAGTTATAAAGTCATACTTACCAGAGCAATATTTTAAGGCACACATAAATATAACAGATTTTAAGACTGTTCCAGAATGATTTCACCATAGTACTAGATAACCATTCAAACAGTGGCAGACAAGCTAAACTCAGTGGCTTATGCTTGTAATCCCAGCTACTCAAAGAGATCAAGGCGGGAGGGTTTCTTGAGGCCAAGAATTTAGATTAGCCTGGGCAACATAGAAAGACCCTATCTCAAAGCCCCCCCCAAAAAAAGAAAGAGAGAGAGAGAAAGAGAGAGAGAGAAAGCAAGCAAGCAAGAAAGAAAAATAAAGAAGTGACAGATGAACTGCTCATTCCTCTAAATAATTTAAAAGTCTAATCTGAAAACCACTTTATATGCTCTTGGGTCCTAAATTCAAAGGTGTTTTTAGTAATAGATAGAAAGAGGGGGATTAAACTGAATATAGGTGTCTTTACTTGTACAGTGCCTTTTACTTCTCTGTTGCCCAGGCTGGAGTATAGTGGTGCGATCTTGGCTTACTGCAACCTCTGCCTCCTGGGTTCAAGCAATTCTCCTGCCTCAGCTTTCCGAGTAGCTTGGATTGCAGGCACACACCACCACATCTGGTAATTTTTGTATATTTAGTAGAGCTCTTGGTATATTTAGTAGAGATGGGGTTTCATCATGTTGGTCAGGCTGGACTTGAACTCCTGACCTCAGATGATCTGCCTGCCTCTCCTCCCAAAGTGCTGAGATTACAGGCATGAGCCACCATGCCTGGCCATATTTCACCATTTAAAATACTTTAACAAACATCTACATGCAAGAATTTAAAAAGCTTTATTTGCATTAGTGTGCACACGTGTGTGTGAGTGTGTGTGTGTAACAGAGCGAGACTGTCACCCAGGCTGGAGGGAAGTGGTGCAATCTTGGCTCACTGCAACCTCCGTCTCCTGGGTTCAAGTGATTCTCCTGCCTCAGCCTCCTCAGTAGCTGGGATTACAGGCCCGTGACCACTCCCATCAGCGAATTTTTCTATTTTTTGTAGAGAAGGGGTTTCACCACGTTGCCCAGGCTGGTCTCGAATTCTTGGCCTCACATGATCCACCTGCCTTGGCCTCCCAAAGTGCTGGGATTACAAGTGTGAGCCACCGCACTCAGCTGAGAAATATTCTTTTTAAAGAGTGGGGATTGGGCTTAGAATGGGAAACTAACAGAGGGAGATAAAGTACAACTTGTAAAGTTCTCCAGGGTTAGAACTGGGGCTGTTTTCAGCAACACTGCACATTCTCAAGAATAACCTGACATTGTAAGCTCTAGATTTGTAGATTTTTATAATTCTTCTTTGCTGTAAAATACCAGTAGGAGTATTAGAACCAGGAAGTTGCGTGTGGGGGCTAAAAAGTGATAAATCATCCTCTTGTGGGCAAATATGAAAAATTTAGAGAAAAGAATAATACAAATTATATTTGAAAGATGATGATCTCAGCATAGTTGGTTCAATGCAAGTAAGAGAATCTAGAGGTTACTGTAGACTGCCTTCTTTAGTTATACGCCCAGTCTACCAGTGCAGCAAAACAGGGCAGTAGCAAGCTGGATATCACAGGACAGGTGTTTCAGAAAAAAACATGAAAACATCACCTAGACCTTGAACAAAAGCTGCAGGTGTGTACATGCCTGAAATGCTGGATATCTCCAGAAAATCATACTAGATATCAGTGCATAGAATATTCTGAATATTATTATTCTTATATTCTTTTTTTTTTTTTTTTTTTTGAGTTGGAGTCTTGCTCTGTCACCCAGCCTGGAGTGCAGTAGTGCAATCTCAGCTCACTGCAACCTCCGTCCCCCAGATTCAAGCGATTCTCTTGCCTCGGCCACCCTAGTAGCTGGGATTACAGGCATCCACCACCATGCCCCGCTAATTTTTGTATTTTTAGTACAGACAGGTTTCACCATGTTGGGTAGGCTGGCCTTGAACTCCTGACCTCAGGTGATCTTCCTGCCTCAGCTTCCCAAAGTGCTGGGATTACAGGCATGAGCCACCGTGCCTAGCCTCTTCTTATATTCTAATGTAGAATATTAGAACCCAGAAGCAGTCTCAAAGTTTGAGAGTAGTAAATGAGTAAACCGGAAGTATCCGTTTGGCTTGACTGCAGTTTTAATATACAGTAAAATCAGAATAGGCTAAGCATAGGGGTTTAGTTATAGGGACTTAATAGGGAGAATGTATGTATCTGTGAAGGCCATATAAATGCAACCTAGATAGTTCATTGTCTCTTGCCCCAAGTAGTGACACCTTCCCACAACGTTCACTTTTGTCTCCTGCTCTTCCTTATTTCTGGGTAGCCTCATGAAATTTTTCACCTGAACGTGGGGAAAAGTCCTGTGGATTGCCAACTACTGATGTTGACTTACCCTTCTGTCATTAAGCCCCTTTTCTAGGGTACTGCTGAGCACTGACACTTCCTTGGCACCATTAGATTCTGCTGGGGGTATCACTGCAAATGTACCCTGGGGTACAGTCTTCCAAATTTCATTGGCAAACAGGGAGAGAACACATAACCATTTTCCCCTAACATTCTTAGATGGGTACCGAGCTGCACCTGTGCTCGATTTTAGTGGCAACAAACCTTTTGGTTCTTGCAGCTTCCCTGGGAACCTGGGGAAATTCTAATGCAGACGCCACACTAGGCTTTCCCGTAATTTCTTCTCTTTTCAATGAGTGAGTTTCCGCTCCAGGGTGAAGCTTCTGGTATCAGACTCCCTCTGAGAGATGCGTTTTCTCCCGAGAGGCACCTCAGTCGTTCAAGAATCAGCCTTATGGTACCGACTTGGGTTCAACTGACCTGGGGTGTGGGGAAAGAAGTCCTGCACTTTGAGAATGACATAAGGGTACCATCTACTTAATTTTTTCAAAAAAGTAACAGGTCTCATGCAAACGCCGGAACGTCACAGAGGACGTGACTTAAACGGAACTTATAATGGAAATAATTTAAATGCTTTTCTAAATGAACACTTACTAGACAAGCAAGGAAACCTCCAGGTTTTCAGATACCTTGATTAAAGCTCTTTCGCGTGGCAAAATGCCAGTGCAATCAATGGTATGAGTAGAGCGGACAGTGGACGAAACTTGTTGAGTAAATCTCAGGAAGAATTAGCACTGGACTTTCAGGTATTCTAACTCAATTCTAACCATTCCATTCACTGGACCACAGGATAAGGTTCCGCAGGATCCGAGCGCCAGCTCTGGATGCATTACTCATCGGGAGAAAATTTTGAATTTTTCTCTTGTCCCTTTCCAGCTTTCTTCAATATAGGATATGAGTTTGTCCTCGACCCCCAACAACATTTAAAGGGAAAGGAGCTCCTAGAAAGCAAAGTGGGGAGGACTTTACAGCTGTGTTTCCCAAGCCCGTAAAGGGAGAGTAATAATGGTAGGGGGCGTGCAGACTAGTTCCTTCCTTGCCCAATCAGGTATACAGGAAGATGTTCTTTCACCAATAAAAATAAAGTTCGCTTTCCGGAGGCGGGATGGCGAGGCTTGACTGCCAATTCTCCAAAGCGACGTTGGAAGCGAGGACAGAGAATGATTAGCGGGAGGACCAACCCGGGAAAAGGGGCGGGGAGAAGGTGGGAGCAACTTTGAGCGGCGGCTGACTAGTCCAGTGGAGAGCGAGGATCGCTGTTCCTGTTGTAGTGTTTCTCACCAATCATGAAGGCCAGGGGGTGGGCGGGGCAGGGAAGGGGGTGGGCAGAGCTCGCAGCACCGCCGGGCGCCCGTCGGGCTCTGGGAGAGAGCGAGAGAGAAATCCGGTTAAAATCAGAGTCGGAGGGAGGTTTAACCACAGATCGGTTCCGATCGGATTATTCCTTAAAGGGGACGCTCCATTGTCAAGAGAACTGAGCCAGGTGCCCGAGGGCGGGGATCGGCGGCGCTGGAGGAGCGAGGCAGCTTCACTTGGACTGGGAACGGGTAGGTGTTGACTGGGGAAAGGCGCTTCATTTTACTTTCTCTTCCAGCTCCGGGGCAGGCGCTTGGATGCCCGTCGCCGGCAGCGCAGCCCGGGCGGGAGACGAGGTCGCCGGCCCTCGCCCGCTGCCCTTCCTGGTGGGCGCCGAAGGGAGGCGGGCCGGGATGGCTGGCAAGCGGCGCCGCCCGGGCCGACGCTCGTAACGGACACCAAACGGCGGCGCAGCCCCAGCCTCAACCGAAAACCCTCCCGAGCCGGGTCGGGTCCGCGGGGAGCGCCGCGCGCTTGGCTCTCCCGCGCGTCCCCTTCCCCTCCAGTGCCTGGCTCTCCTCGCGCGCGCCCGGCGCTCCCTCGCGCGCCGCCTCGCCACCAACTCGCGGGAGCCGCCCCGCGGGAAGGAAGGCGGCGGCGGCGGAGGAAGACCGGCGGCCACGGCTCCGCCGCCCCGGCTGGGAGGGGAGGGCTGAGGAGCACACTGAGCGCGGCGGCTGGCGGGCCTGGCGGGCAGGGTTGGCGGGGACCGACGGAGCGCGCCAGCCTGGCCCGGCATTGTCCGCCTTTTCCTTGCTCTGGTCTCTCCGCCCACCGCTCGCGGCCGTGGGGAGGGGTGCGGGCGCTGTGCCCGCGCCGCCCCAAGCCGGCGGCGCACCCCGGTACCCGGAGCCTTCCGGAGCCGCGGCCACCGCCCGCTGGCCGACTCGGCCTGCAGAGTGCTTGCTGCTCTCAGCCTCGGCGCCGGGCAGGCTGCCTGGGCGCTGAGCTCTTCCTTGCAACTTTTCTTTGCCGTTTGATGGAAGTTGTTGCTTCCCGGTGGCAGGTTCTTTGGAAAATAGACTGGTTTCCTGCGTTCTGGAGAGGCTGGTTTCTAGGGCGAAATGGTTCTTGATTGCTGCTGGTCTTTCCTGCCATCCTAGTTTCGTTCCTCGACACCTGAAATAGCATTTCTTTTTGTGGATTGGCAATGATAGGAGCATTAACCTTTCCTAGATCAAGATTTGAAAAGAAAAACAAGGGTTAGGGTGTGTGCTGCTGAGAGACAAGAGTTCTTAGTGGAGCTGCCCTTACCTTTGAACTGCGGAAAATATCATCTCGAGTCACTGGCTGGGATTCTTTTGGAAGGGTAGGGGTAAAAAGACACAGCAAAACAGGTTGCCAGGGTCTGTCGGATTATGGGGAAAAAAAGAGTTTTGATGGAAATAAAGTTGGTTTTTATAAAATACTGTGCTGCCTCGGAGATAGCGCCTGTAAAGTTGATTCTGCTACTGAATTTATAGGCATTATAATTAGTACCAACAGCTTTTACTATTGATAAAACTAGTATAATAGGTCTTTTCATCTTGAGCATTATCACTCTGCTTAACCTGTCAATACTTGCTGAGGAATCACAGAGATAGTACATTCCTTGTTAGAGGCCTTAGTGAAGAATGTTTTCATAAGCATTCATTTTTGACAGTTTCTTCTTGAGCAATACTTCGTAGAGTACTTGCATGTGCAAGTTACAACCGTATAAACAAAGTAGCAGTGGGTGTGTTATTCTGTGGTCTTTTTTTGCTACTCATTATCAAAAATAGCATTCCATCCTGTCTTTTCTTCCACTCTGAATTATTTTATAAAATCAGTTCTCTAAAAGAGGGAATTTTGTCGGAACATGTGATCCAGTTTTTTTTTTTTTTTTTTTTTTAATTAAAGCAATACAACTTTTAAAAGTATTCATCGATTAACTTACTGTCCAGTAACTCCGGAGTGATGTGGAACATTGTAAATTCACAGGCTCAGCAGTAAAAATAGAGAAACTACTTGGGAAATTGAAACCCAATATCAGATAATGTTTGAAAGACAAATCTATTCTTTCCACAGAATTTAGAAAATGAAGACACTCAAAAACATATTCTTTGGGCTCGAGTGATCACCTCAGCCTCTGGAGTAGCCGGGAATGGAGGTGGGCACTACTGTGTCTAGCTAATTTTTTTTTTTTTTTTTTTTTTTTTGTAGAGTTGGTGGTCTCACTTTATTTTTTATGTGGATGGCTGGTCTCCAGCTCCTGGCTTCAAGCGATCCTTCTGCTTTGGCCTCTCAAAGTGCTGGGGTTCAGGCTGAGCTACCATGCTTGGCCGTTTGTAGTCATCTTGATGGTATCTGGCATTGTTTCACCTAATATTTCTTCTTTTCTATTTTTTCTTTGATCCGCTTCTGTGATAAGGATGTCAGGCAAGTATCTAGGCCTAATCTTCCTTCCTGTCTCATAATAAAAAGTAGACGGTTAAACCAAGTTTTTAAATGTCTGTCTTTGTTTACTTACCAACTTATTTAAACAATAAAGGAAAGAATTTCTCAACTTTTAAAAGCACATATAAAGAAAACATTCAGAAATAATTATCTTTGAAATATCTAGACCATATTTCCTGGAAAAGCCTTTTTTTCCTCTTGTGTGCTTTCTCCATTGTTTTAAACACATTGTTTTATATGCACACATTTCTTGAGTTTGAACTGTTTCTTGAGATCTTTGGGAGCTAGGACTATCCTCCATTTCTGTGCAGATTCACTGTATCACCTAGGACCTTTTTAGTACCCAATAAATGTGTTATTTTAGGTCTTTGTGACAGAAAAAGATAACGTCCTGTAAAGTTCGCTTGAGTTAGTTTTTATAAAAAATAAATACCTTTCAGAACATTTTATACTAAAGACCAGTAATTGGCTTGTGGTTGGAGGAAGATATGTCAATCTAGAGGTTCTTTGTTCTGTGTACAAAATGTGATTTAATTATTTATAATATCTGTTCCACAGACATCCTTAGTGATGGTGAACACATTATCACGATTATTCAGAACTAGGTTTTATCTGTCATAACATCTATTGAGTATATATTTATTTAAAGGGTATTATGTAAAGTAGAAACTGATGACAGTATTTATGGAGATAAAGGAGAAATGGATGACAGTCTTGTTCTCAAATGTATACAGGTTTTTTTTTTTTAAATTAGACCCAGAGTCAGCAAATCAGATGTATACAGTATAATGAGAAGGTGCAAAATTCTTAGGAAAAAGGCAGTGGGCATGTCAGTGCAGTAACAAGGACAAAGAAACAGTGACACAGAATTCATGTAATTGATTGTTAGAAGTGGAGAAGTTTTCAAGGCTTTAGCAAATTTTAGAATATATGTTTAAATAAATTTTTTAATAAAGTAGTTTTGTCGGTAGATGGGGTGTATGTTCTCTATTAGAGCTATTTTTATGTATAAAATATTTTGGGGAGACAGAGTGTGTGCTCTGAATTTCAACTATTATTACATAGTGACAGGGACCATCCATCTGGCTCAGCTCTGATATCACCTTGTTTGCAAGATCTTCCTCTGTTCTCCTAATCACAAATGATTGTTGTTTGCTTTGGCTGCTGTAAAATCCTCTTACAGTACAAGCCATGGTCTGACTTACTACAGTGTGGTTATGTATGTATGTATTTTATTAGATTGTGGAGTTTGGTAAAAACTATTAACAGAAGTTAGAACCCTTTCATTTTTACTGTTGCTTGAAGTACCTGCAACATATAAAAATCTTGGCAGTTTTAATAGCCCACCAGTATTCTAGAAAAATCACTGTAAAGAAGTTTAAATTATTTTTATTTGGGGAATGTGTGTATGTGTGTTTAAAGGAAAAAAAGTTTTTTCTTATCTAAGTTTCACATGCTCATGGTAAAATATTATTATGAAATAAGTGCATAATTTCAACATTAAAAGTGGCCAGACTTGGTGGCTTATGCCTGTAATCCCAGCACTTTGTGAGGCTGAGGAGGAAGATGGCTGAGCACAGGAGTTCAAGAACAGTCTGGGCAACATAGGGAGACTCCAACTATATTAAAAAAAGAAAAAGAAAAGGAAAGTGTCCCATAACACTGCACTTACCACACTGTAACATCGTTAATGGTTTGTTTATTCTTTCAGTTTTTTTCCTTTTTTTTCTCCTTTTACCTCTGTATAGGACTGTCTTAAACTGTTTCTCATGCAGATTTTAGTAAATTACGTTTATTGGGAGTAGAGAAAGCTAATCATTTTTTATATACTTATTTTTTAAAATAATTTCTCCAGACTCAGTAATTCTGGTTCCTTTTTACCTTAGGATACAAGGCTATCACCAGTATGTTTGTGTTCAAAATGTAGACTTCATAATCTTTGCAAAAATTGATCAAAACCTGTGTGCCTGAACAGTTTACCTGCATTTACCCCAGAATAGTTTTGGAGTACACACTTTAATTTCTTCTCATTTCTTGATTCTACTTCTCAAGAGAGACAGCATTAAAAATTGCTTTGAGACTCCCAGCGGGCACTCCTTATAGTAGCCCAAGGAGAAATGTAGATTTGTTCATGGTGGAATCACTCAAACATTAGGTTGCTAATTGTAAATAGGGGGCTACAGTTTAGGCCGGTGAAGTAGGTGAGAAGAGTCTGTTGTTCCACGTGTGTCTTTAAGCTACCTCAGAGGGCAGAAAGGCTTTCTAAGGGATCCTAAATAGAAAACCCAGCTGTAAGTAGCCAGGGGGGCCTAATCAGCTGAAAAAAAAAAAAGTCTCCATTCATTTAGCAGATTTTTGAGAACTGCACCTATAGTGTGTACCATGCTAGGCATTGAGGGTAAGATTAAGTTTGTCTGTGTCACAAGTCATGAGCTCCTCTGAGCAGAAGCCTTAATTAGATAAGAGCACAGTGGAACGTGTGGGTTAAAGGTAGCTTATGTGAAGTGCATCCTTTGGTGAACTTATTATTCACTCATTT